GGTTTAGGGTTTAGGGTTTAGGGTTTAGGGTTTAGGGTTTAGGGTTTAGGGTTTGTGTGTAGGGTTTAGATGAGCGAGCTGTAGCTCGTTTGCATGCAGCAGCAGCAACAACTGATGGTTTTTTAGTTGCTGCTGCTGATGCTTCTCTCCGGGGCTTGGGGACCCTCTTTGGTTCTCTACAACACGGAAGAACAGACCTAACGTATTTTATTTATTTTATTTATTTTATTTTTTTTTTATTTTATTTATTTTTGTTTTGTTTGTTTTGTTTATTTTATTTGTTTTATTTGTTTTATTTATTTTGTTTATTTTGTTTATTTTATTTGTTTTATTTGTTTTATTTGTTTTATTTGTTTTATTTTTTTTGTTTATTTTATTTATTTTATCTTTTTTAGTTATTTTATTTGTTTTTTTATTTTATTTATTTTTTTCATTTTGTTTATTTTGTTAATTTTTTAATTTTATTTATTCATTTTTTTTTATTTTTTTTGTTTTGTTGCCTTGTTGTTTGTTTGCTTGGCTGCTTTTTATCTTATTATTTTTTTTTGTTTAGTTTATTTTATTTGTTTATTTTAATTGTTTTATTCATTTATTTGTTTACTTATTTTATTTATTTATTAATTTACTCATTATATTTATTTATTTTATTTATTTTATTTTATTTTGTTTGTTTTTTTTGTTTTTTTTTTGTTTTTTTTGTTTGTTTCTGCTGCAGTCTATTCACAGGTATGTCTATAAAAGAACAAATTCAGCTGCAACGCGCAGCAGCAGAAGATGCAAAAGAACTCCTCAATATCTACTTATCCACCAAACCCTCTCTAGGGGGCCCCCAAGGGGGCCCCCCAGGGGGCCCCCCTCAGGGGCCCCCCCAGGGATCTACAGAGGGGCCCCCCCAGGGGGCCCCCCAGGGGCCTATAGAGGGGCCCCCCCAGGGGGCCCCCCAGGGCCCTACAGTGGGGGCCCCCCGGGGGCCTACAGTGGGGGCCCCCGAGGGGCCCCTCAAGGGGGCCCCCAAGGGGGCCCCCTTCTCGGTAGAAGGTGAAAAGCCTTCGCAGCAATCAGGGGGCCCCCCACAGTACCCAGGGCCCCCCCACAGCGTAGATGCCTTGGGGGGCCCCCAACAGGGTCTGCAGCAAGAGGGAGAGAAGCTGCAGCAGCAGAGCGAAGAACCGCAACAGCAGCAACAGCAGCAGCTACAACAGCAGCAGCAGCAGCAACAGCAGCAGCAGCAGCAGCAGCAGCAGCAGCAGCTTGCTAAGGAAACCGAAGCCCTTGTAGAGGCCCTAAAGGCGCTGATGCCGCAGGAGAAGATAGACTGGATCGTCTCCGTATAACAGCAGCAGCAGCAGCAGCAACAGCAGCAGCAGCAGCAGCTGCTGCTGCTGCTGCTGCTGATGGTGATGCTGCTGTTGAGGCGTTTGGTTGGGGTGCATGCAGAGACACAGCAGTGTATAAGTTTGTCTTTTTTTTTTAATTTTATAAATACACAGACAAGGCTGCTGCTGCTCCTGCTGCTGCTGCAGCTGCTGCTGCAGCTGCTACTGCAGCTGCTGCTCCTGCTGCTACTGCAGCTGCTGCTCCTGCTGCTACTGCAGCTGCTGCTGCAGCTGCTGCTGCAGCTGCTGCTGCTGCAGCAGCTGTTTTTTATTATATTAGTATAGCGGGATGCAGCATTGCTTGTGCTGTCTCCTTTTTCTTTTTTTGTCTCTTTTTGTCTTTGTTGTTATCTAGGATTTGTTTGTTATTTTGTTTTTGTTTGTTTTTATTTTTATTTATTTTTATTTTGTTTGTTTATTTATTTTATTTATTTTGTTTGTTTATTTAATATATATTTATATAATTATTTTGTCTCCTTTTGTCTCTTTTTTTTTTCTCTATATAAACACCAACCGAAACAAAAAAAAAATACAAACAAACGCATTCTCCCTTTTTATTGTTTTTATTTATTATTATTATTTATTTATTATTATTATTATTTAGTTTTTTATTTATTATTATTTATTTATTTATTTATTTAATTTTTTTATTAGTAGTATTTAGTATTTTTATTTATTATTATTATTTATTATTATTATTTATTATTATTATTTTTATTTATTATTATTATTTATTATTTTTATTTATTATTATTATTTATTATTATTATTATTATTATTATTATTTATTATTAGTAGTAGTATTTAGTACTTTTATTTATTATTTTTATTATTTTTTTTACTTTATTATTATTATTAGTAGTATTTAGTATTTTTATTTATTATTATTATTTGTTTATTATTATTTTTATTTATTATTATTATTATTTTAGTTTATTTATTATTATTATTTATTTATTTATTTAGTATTTTTATTTTTTATTTTTATTTATTTATTATTATTTATTTATCATCATTATTTTTATTTTTTATTATTATTACTAGTATTTAGTATTTATATTTATTATTATTATTTATTTATTATTATTTTGTTTATTTAATATTATTATTAGTAGTATTTAGTACTTTTATTTATAATTATTATTTTTTTTTATTTATTATTATTAGTAGTATTTATTTATTAATATTAATATTATTATTATTTTATTATTTTTATTTATTATTATTATTTATTTATTTATATTATTTTTGTTGCTGTTGTTACTAGTAGTAGTATAAATAATTATTTTTATTTATATTTTGTTGTTGTTGTTATATTGTTCCATTTATTATTATTTTTTTTTGTTGTTGTTGCTGCATTTATTATTTTTATTTTTTTGTTTTTTTTTGTTTTTATTAGTATCGTAAGCAGTAGTAGTAGTAGCAGCGATAGATATATTTTTTTTTATTTTTTTATTTTTTATTTTTATTTTTATTTTTATTGGTAGTAATAATTAAAAAAATATTAATTTTATTATTATTGCTGCTTTCTTTATTTTGTTCATTTTTTTTAGTTATTTTATTATTTTTATTATCTTTATTTTTTTTATTTTTTTTATTATTTTTATTATTTTTATTATTTTTATTATTTTTATTATTTTTATTATTTTTATTACTGCCACTTTTAATATAAAACTTTTTTCTACTTTTTCATTATCGTATCTGCATATTGCATATATAAACATAAAAAAACCATTTGCTGTTTCTTTGCTGCAGCGTTGCGGCTGCTGCTGCTCTCCTTTTTATTTGTGTGTGCCCTGTTGTCTTTGTCGCTGCTGCTTCGATCAAAAAAACTTCCTTAAGGTAATATATATAAATAAATAAATATATATATATATATATATATATATATATACACATAT